CTGGTTGGCGCCCGTCGTAAAGAGCTCACAGTCGGAGTCCGTGTCCAGGCCTGGGGATCGACCTTCCGAAGCCAGTGCTGCGCAGTCTAGCGGTTCAGGGCTGTCACAGCCCGAGGGCCGCTGCCGAACCACTACGGGATCGTCATGCTTCAGGCCGGTGTGGCCAGAACTCGCCGTTCCCGCCGGCCTTGCTACGAATCTCGCTTGGGAACCACTCAAGAGATCGCCACGGGCCAGACCACCCAGAACGGCACCATCGTTCCTGCAGAACCCCAGCCTCGCTCAGCACGCGTTGTCTGGCGCGAGCACGTGCCTCTCCCGCCGACCGCCTGTCATGTGCTCTCCGTCCTGTTGTCTTCCACCCTCGTCTCCCACAAGGTTTAAACGAATGTGAAGTTCTGCCAAGCGTTCCCTTAAAGGCTGAACTGCAAGGGAAGAATATGCTCCGAAAAATTGACGAACTTCGCCCCGCTGCTTTTGCAGCGTGAGCTACACTGGCCGAGGTTGAGCAATTTCGCGTGGATGTCAAAGAGCCGTGCTGCGCAGGCGCGAGGACCAGTGACGTCACACGGCGCACAGCTAGCGCGCCGGAGCCGCCGCCGCCGCGCGCTCCGCCACCTCCACGCGCGCCTCGTCGGTCTGCGCATGAGCGAGGAGCAGTGACGTCCCACGGCGCACAGCTGGCGCTCCGGAGCCGCCGCCACCGCGGGCGCCTCGCCGGTCTGCGAATTCCAGAGGAGTGACGTCATAGCCGCGGCAGACGCACTGACGCCATAGAGTAATATAGTAAACGTAAAGAGAGGACACTGAAGCCGATTCGCGGCCCAGATAGTAGGATTCATACCCTCCGCTACGTGGCGCTTTTCCGTAATTTGGTTAATATTAATTACAGCTTTCTCTCTGAAAAGTATTTATTTTCTAAATTTTTATGCTTTAGAGTTTTTTAAAGTACTTAAAACGACTAAATAGTGTTAATCAAATACGTCACTAAAACCACGTGATGAATGGCGCCTGCCATGGCCTGTCTGCTTGCACGCCGTCACCTCTGCTCGTCCGTGCGGTCCGTGCTTCGTTCGTCCGTGCCGTTCTTCTCCGTTTTATGCTACAGCGTGTTCGGTCGACTTTGCTTGAAACAAAGTGACGAATGACCGCCGCGTGCTCTCATGCTCGGCGTGAGTTTGTAGAGCTGAGCGGCTTGATATGGCTTGAGCGTTTCGTGTTTCCGTCGGGCTGCCTGGACCTAGATTTTTAAACAAAAGGTAAGTCGTTTTGCTGATTTGTTTCTCGACTGTGTTGTAAAGCTGGCTTTTGAATTTGCTGAGTCTGGGTTGCCGTCCGACGCCCCTCGGGCAGAGCTTTGTTCATGCGTGTTCAAGTGCCATCAGACATCTGTGGATTGCTGTTGAGAGGACTTATGCCGTCATAGATTGAAGTTAATTCACTGACTAAAGCTGGGTCGACAGTCGTTCGCAGTACGACGAACTCGGGGCAAGGTGTCCATTGAGTCATATTGATATTTTGACATGCATTCTTTCAATGGCGCGTCGCTGCTTTGATTTATCACATAAAGTACGTGCAAAAGAAGCGAACCAGCGAACGTCGCTCAAGCGAGCTACATGACTTGTGTGTACCGCCATACGAGCTGCAGTATGCTGCAGTTACGACGACAAACACATGCATAGAATTTCGGGGGAAAAAACTGCGAGACGCAGTATCAAATTTAGATATTTAATAAAGTTCCCAAGCAGCATATATATCCTATGGACGTCCACGGGACATCCAGGATAGGACATCCATGGAACTTTCGGACACTCTGAGAATGTACGGAGGACTATTCAAACATGGTTCCCACTACATCGCTACATCACCAAATGGAGCTCGAAATTTAGGTCTATGGTTCGCTGACATTATTTTCTATGTAAGAAAGCAAAATTCAAAATATTGACGGCCAATTTACCAGAAACAGTAGAGGTAGATTAGTCTTACTTATTTTGGCCGTACCGCTGTACTATGCTTAAATTCCTGTTTTACTCTTAAGGATGACATTCGAACGTTGGGTAAAACCAGTCAGACGTCACTTGAACACTTGGTTGGAGTGCTGTGGCATGGCACTCTAGACACTGCGTTCGATTATGATGCATGAAGATTGCGTAAACTTCACAAACTTCACAATATTTCTTTCACCCGTCTGTGTTAATACGTGTCATCGGTTTATTGTAACATTGCGTCATGGCAATATCTTGTGACACTTTTAAATCTCCATCAGTTTATTTTTTCACCAGCCGCTATTGTGCTACCTTCCGTTGAACTAAAGGAACGCGCCATTGGCTAGGCTTCAGTAGATGTTAAACTCTCCCTCCCCCGCTGGCCCAGATTATGTCCTACGGAAGTTACTGCTGCGTGGTCTGGTGTGCCAACAATGGGAAAGCAAAGAAGCCACATGTCAAGTTTTTTCGAATTCCACGTGACCCAAGGTACGTATAGATTCTAAGGCAGTCCTTACAACATTTGATCGAAGCATAACATTTTGAAATGAGAACTATGGTCCGTTGCAACCTAAGAACCAAGGGCGAGGGTAAGACGGGCCGGGGAGGAGGAAGCAGACGGAACACGAAACGCTAAGGAGAGAAGGAGGTTTCCCCTTTCTTCTCCAGCGTTCCGTCTGCTCCCTCCTCCCCGGCCCGTCTTACCCTCGCCCTTCGGTCTTAGGTTGCAACAAACTATAGCAAAAACGATTTCTTCCATGTCACTTTGGTTTATGGACACCAATATCTTTCAGCATTTTAAGGTTATCTTGCCTCGGGCCTAAATTGATTGCATACCCTGGTGGGTATGCAATCTGTTTGTTTAGCTGTATTGCACTGTACAGTAGCATGAAGAAGAAAAACAAACTCTTCAGAACGTGAACACTTTGCTGAGAGGTGCCATACCAAACGGCAGTGAAACATTAAAAACAATTGAGGCTCATATATTTGGAGTTTATTTGACCCTTACAGTATGTGTAACCTTGGTGGTATATACAATGTTCTGCAGGTCAAAAGCATGGCTACAGTACGCCAGACGTCCTGAGCTCCTAGGAAAGACAGCCAAGGAGCTCTATGAGGGGTATCGCCTGTGTAGTGAGCATTTCACAGCCAAGGACTTTTTGGATCCTGGGAAGACAAGGCTGACCAAAACGGCTATCCCTATGGTTCGGCCGCAAATGCTTGGGCCATCTGTAACAGCCCAAGGTAACATAATCTTTATTTGCAGTCTGTACGGAGTTCTGTTATATTTTGCTTTTAGGCAGCACCAACTCTACGTCACTGATGCCAGCTGCCAGCATGCTGTCAACGATGCTTGACAGTCTCAAAAGTTTTAATCTGATTTAATTAGTTTTTATTATTAGTTTGTGCTTAAATATTTTATCTAATTCATTTAGCATTTTTGTACATTATCCCTGTAATGTCCCTGTGCATACTGTTGCCCATAACCAATATTCGTCCCAGTTTGTTGGAAAATTGTTTTAAAGCACAAGGTCAGCTGCATTGAAATACAGTAATTTGTGTCCTGCAATCAAGAAGGGCAGTTCTGCCAGTGCAGTATGACTTCTTACAGGGCATCCTAGGTTTGTAGCATACAATAGTGATATAAATGAAAGATAAGGCAGGTCAACGTTCCCCTGTTCATATCCAATTCGACAAGAGGACTCATGCCGTCTGAGTCATCTTCCTGACACTCATGTTTACAAGGTTAGCTTTAGTTGCCCATGCTGTTATGTTCTCATACATTAGCATACCGGGCCGTTAAAATTTAAGATATTCCGAGATTCCTAAGTGCCTTTTCAAGACCCGCCGGATCCTGTGTTTCGCCATTGATTAATATTGCTCAACATTAATTTTCATCACTAAGGGATTTCAATTCCCTTTCAGAGTGCTGAATATTTTCTGTTCCTTTGAAAGGTAACACTACTAACCTATCATTCGCCTGTAGCAGGAATTCTCCATCAGAAGCTTTATAAGCAGGTATTCACATCTGAGAAGCCAAAATTTTTCAGAAGAACCGGTGGCAACAACATGCCCCTGTGACGTTTCATTGGAGGGAAACAGAATGTCGCATCCCACAGCAGCTTATGGTGAGATTATTTATTTTTATTTGGCGGCTCATATCTGACAAGGAAGCCCTTTTCAGAAAAGCCATTAGCGGAACCAAGCCCCAGGGATGTTCGATTGGAGGGCAGCAGAACGTCGCCTTCAACAGCTGCTCATGGTGAGATCATTTATTTTAAAACAGGGGCTCATACCTGACAAGCAAACATCTTTCAGAAGGACCGATGGTGGCACCAAGCCCCGGGAATGTTCCATTGGAGGGTAGTGGAACGTCACATTTGGCAGCTGCTCATAGTGAGATCATTTCTTTTAAAACAGCTGCTCATATCTGACAAGCAACCGTTTTTCAGAACAACCGCTGGCGGCACCAAGCCCCGGTAATGTTCCCTTGGAGGGCAGTGGAATGTCACCTTCAACAGCTGCTCGTGGTGAGATCATTTATTTTAAAACAGGGGCTCATACCTGACAAGCAAATGTCGTTCAGAAGGGCCGATGGCGGCACCAAGCCCAGGGAATGTTCCAATGGAAAGCAGCGGAACGTCACCCTTGGCAGCTGTTCATGGTGAGATCATTTCTTTTAAAACAGCTGCTCATAGCTGACAACCAAACATTTGTCAGAAGAACCGGTGGCGACATGTCCCTGTGACGTTCCATTGGAGGGAAGCAGAACGTCGCATCCCACAGCAGCTTCTGGTGAGATTATTTATTTTAAATGAGCGGCTCATATCTGACAAGGAAGCCCTTTTTAGAAAAGCCGATGGCGGAACCAAGCCCCGGGGATGTTCGAATGGAAGGCAGTGGAACGTCACCTTCGGCAGCTGCTCATGGGGAGATCATTTCTTTTAAAACAGCTGCTCATATCTGACAAGCAACCGTTTTTCAGAACAACCGATGGCGACAAGCCCCTGTGCTATTTCACTGGAGGGTACCAGCGCGTCACATTCCATAGCGGCCTGTGGTAAAATAAATCTCCTACACAAATTGGGTTTATGCAAACATTCGTATTTAACAGTGGCACATTTTCCAGAGCAAATGGGGATGGCCAGCTCTCCTGGCCAGCTTTTGGACCACAGCACTCCATCTTCGTCTGTTGGCTATTCTGAATCATCTGGAACCTGTGAGTATAAATTGACTTCTCTACAGATTTAAGCACTGCAAAATTGTGTTAAGTACCTCTGCATTTAGTGTGCACATTGCTTCAAATTAGGTGACATTATTTGTCACTTCATTTTTGTGCTGGCCTTAATAACTTGGAACATCACTACAGGGCTCTAGGTGACGGGGAACATAAGCTTTGAAGTGTGGCACCGTGAAATGCTCTGAAAAGGGGTGGTTTCCTAGTAATCTGTGCTTATTGTAGTAATTTGCCAATCCTGTTACATACAGTTCTCATTTTGGATGACCCTGTTGAATGTAGTGATTGACTACGCGATTATTCAATATTTGAAAGATACATCAATTTATGTTAATACAGTTTTTGTGGTGAAATTATTGCAGCTGAAAGACTAAAAGCTAGTTTAATTTTTTTTTTTCTGATAGCAGCCATTTGTGTATAAACAGTGGTAACAGAACATGCGGAGCAAATGCCCACTCACAATTTGGAGATAATCATGAAAAACGCAGAGATGTATGCTTCTTATGCCCGAAAGCGAAATTGCAGAACAGCCAAAGGTTGGGGGTAAGGGGGGCCACCACTTTGGAGGCCCGTGCACGTGTCGAGCTTCACCTTTTACATTGGTGTGCTTGGAGAAGCAGCTGAAGCGGATGAGCATTTATGTTAGGTGGGTGGGTTTTTAAGTCTGGAGTTGGACATTGATACGTGTTTTGTTTATTTCGCAAACGTTTCGAAAGTGGCGGGGGACGGGGGGGGGGGGGGGGGGAAGGGGGCACATATTGCAGCATGGGTAAGTGGTCGGTATTTGGCGGTATCGTTTCTGTCGGGTTCTACTTTATCATTTTTTTGTAGCCTGACTTATGTGCTTTCGGTATTGTTTTGGCAGGCTCTGGTCGTTCAACACCTGCTTCCGCCAAGCTCTCAAGGAGGCCCAGGGACGTCATAAAACGCCTACAAGCAAAGGTTTCCAGTTACAGAAAGACAATATCAAGACTGCGCAAGCAACAGAAGCAAATGCCTCAAACAGATGCCGAAGCACTTGAAATGGTGCGTCCGTTTGTGACAGACGAGGTTTTCGGACTTATCTCGTCACATGTAAAATTAGGGCGCAAGGGACGAGGAAAACGGTTTCCACTGTGGCTCAAGAAGCTTGCTTTGCATCTGAACTTTCATGGCCCACAGGCATACCGTTTTCTATCGTTACATTTAACGCTTCCCACTCAGCGTTCACTGCGTAGGTGGCTGTCGAACGTAAAAATGACTCCTGGTATTATACCTGGTGTCATGTCCTCCATCGAATCTCAAACGCGGTCTTGGAATGCACGTGATCGTGTCTGCACCTTGATTTTTGATGAGATTGTTTTGAAGAAGAACTTGACATACGACCCTGCACACGACATTATCCATGGATTTACAGATGACGGTGTTGAACGAACCTCGACCATTGCAGATAGAGCCCTGGTTGTTGTGCTCTCTGGAATTTCCAGGAGGTGGGTTCAGCCCCTCGCATACACTGTTGGGCACACTTCAACACCGTCTTCTGTTATCCGGAGCCTCCTGATTTCTCTCATTCGAGAGCTTAAGACTGTTGACTTCACTGTGAAGGCCGTGGTCTGTGATCAGGGGGCTTCAAACGTAAGCTTAGCCAACCAACTTGGTGTATCTGCTGATAAGCCATTTTTTAAAGTCGACAACGAACGTGTTTACTTTATCTTTGATGTTCCGCACCTCATCAAAACAACAAGAAACAATCTCCAAGCCCACAAACTTTGCATTGGGGATGAGGTCATTGAATGGTCCCATATTGTTGAACTTTATCGTTCTACTCATGAGATGAGGTTGCGATTGGCTCCAAAACTTACTGAGAGGCACATTTTTCAAAAACCTTTCAGTAACATGAAAGTAAAGCGTGCCACACAGGTCCTGAGTGCCTCAGTCTGTCTTGCCATTCTATCCCTTGTTTATGCCAAGGAGCTTCCTGAGGCAGCCATGGCTACAGCCTATTTTTGTGATAGAATGGACAGACTTTTTGATTGTTTAAATAGCTCGCAATTCAAGAAGACGGGGCAGAAGTTGCGTCATGTAATTTTGAAAGGAGAATCTGAGATACTCGATTTCCTTCACCAACAACTCGCATGGATTTCAACACGGAAGTTCCAAAGTAGGAGGCAGCCACAGACCACCATAGGGTGGCAAGTTACAATAAGGAGTGTCCTCATGCTCTGGGATGAGCTTTCAAACAGCTATGACTTTAAATTCTTACTTACTCGACGCCTGCAGCAAGACCCACTGGAGAACATTTTTGGGGCAATAAGACAAATGCTGGGCTGCAATACAAACCCAAATGTGAATCAGTTCACCTCGGGACTGAAACACATCGGGATAAAAAAACTGTTCAGACTCTATAACAATGGAAATGTAGAGGATGAAAAGGCTGACCTCCTTAAGGAGTTGCCAATATTTTCGCACCATGAAAGTTCCATTGCAGACAATGTGGAATGTTTTCCAGTTGATAACTTCCCGCCACTAGAAGATATTTCTGAGCTGGCATCAGATATCAGGTCTAATATAATTGACGACTCGTGCACTTACTACGTTGGAGGCTATTTGATCAAACTTTTCCTTGAACAGACAACCCGCAGCTGTGGCTGTTCTAAGCTGCTAAAGGATGAGTCTGACAACTTGACCAGGCCTCACCAGTATTTTCTTATGCTTAAAGCATACCACGTGCCTGGGAAACTCTTCGGAAACCTAGTAGTACCATCACAGGCTGCCTTTAACTTTATTCAGAAACTAGAAAATCACTTTCTTGCCGTAATAGAGAGTGCAGCGCATGTTCGAGGAGTGTGTGCTGCCTTGTATCACACACTCTCAGAGCTGGGTGGTTTCAGCCTTTGCTCAGAGGAGTGTCACAAAAGGTTTTTAAAAATGTTTTGCCGAATACGCTTGTGTTGGCATGTTCGGTTCCTTAACCGGAACTTGGACAAAGTTCGGTTACACTCTTCGGTTGCTAGTAAGCAACTTGATAAGTTTAACTGTTAATAGCTTAATAGCGTATTAACAGAGGCGGTTGCCAAATCAAAAACAGAAATTGCTTATTAATTGGGCAGTGTAGCTTGCACTCCAAACATGTGTTTTCTTCATTTCCAGGAAATGTGTATCACGGCCCCCTTACACAAATATTTATCCACTTTCTGCAGAATTTATATAGAAAATAGTTTATAGAGGCATAGATGTTTGGAAGAAAATGTGTCCACTTCTGTACCCGTCTATATTTTTTGGACGTTTTTTTTTTCTGAAGTAATACTCCTGCCCTGAACAAATGTATTTCGGGGAATGTTTAGGGACGTTGAATCATGGTTGAATATCTATGGTTGAATCTTGTCAGATTCCGAATAGAGTTCTCATTGTTTTTTTTTTTTTTTTTTTTTGCAATGGCTCACCCGCAGCGAGTTTCAGGCTATGCCATTTCGTGTGTTTTATATTAGCCGGTAATTTGGAATTTGTACTATCCGGTGTGTGCTTCGCCTGGTAATGATAGCGATGTCTTGTTTATTTCTGCACTTACTTACCGTGCCCGAGTCGGCGTGAAGGTGAATGGATCATTCAGCATGTTCCCTGTGGAAAGCTTTTGTAAACTTGACTCCGCTAAAAATCTATTACGAAGTGTACGATATGCCGCACTCCTTCATACTCATTTATTTTTGTGATTATCTATTTCTTATAAAACATACAGAGCTTCTGAAGTAAATAATGTACATATGAATGTGGTCCAATAAAATGTTTTCAAACCACTTACTGTTGTTGACCCCAAAACCTCCCAAAATGCTCCACCAGCCAGGAGTCAATGTGGCGATTATGTACTTCAATGTGTTCAATAGGTTGAACTTTTATTCGACACATTACACATTTTGCAAAACTTATATCGTATATTGCAAAACTTATAACATAAAAACAACAACAAAAAAAAGAATCATCGGCTCCGGAGCCAAGGAGCTCCCGAGAGCCTAGCGAGGAGGGAGGCGAGAAGGAAAGAAAGAGAAAAAGAGAAGGAGAAGGGTACCAAAAAACCGAAACAAAAATGCCCAAACCGAAACCGAAACTAACTTGACCGGAACCGGAACCAGATTGTGTTTCATACCGTCCGCTAAGAGCGCTAGTTGTCACTGCTCTATCTGGGCCGCTGGGGCCTATGGCAGTGTCCGCTCTTTACCTTGTGTATATTACTCTATGCTGACGCCGCCGCGTGCCCAGCTGTGCGCCTCCGTTGCGCAGTAGCCAAGTCTGACACTGCACCAGACCCGCTTGATAGCGCCTCTCATTTTGTGCGTAAGCTCACGCTACGTATATCCTGGCATAGCCGAGCTAAGCCACTGCAATTTTTTTCTGCGCGTCGAATCAGCACAATGGCTGCTACGTCACGGCTGCAAAGGGAGTATGACATAGGGCAACGTTCGTTAGCTATTTCTGGCATAAGTTGCTCCATGAAATTCAACCTTAACATACCACAATGGACCAATCTCACCAAGCGTTCGGCGCATGCTTGACGCGTCACGCATGCACAGTGCACGAAACGGCAGTGCACCAAAGTGCTCGTACCGCCTCGTGCCCCACACGCGTGGAGGTTTAGCGAGGTTGTCGCACGTGCAGAAAGGCTAAAGTTCCCACTATGCCTTGTGGCAGTGGTGGCGCAGTCAAACTGGCAGGTGAGATCGGTCTATTTGTTTGTAGCTCGCTTTTTTATATATTCCGCATAACAGTTTCATTTTTAATAACTTGAAATGATTACACCGATATACGGTATTTATAGCTGTCGGCTTTTAGCAGTCTGACTCCTTCAACTTTGTAAAAGACCGATCTCACTAGCCAGTTTGACTACGCCACCACTGCCGCAATTCATTGAGGTAGCATTAGTCTTTCTGCACGTGCGACAACCTCGCTACTGCTCTGCGCGTGTGAAGCATAAGGCGGCACGAGCCGTCTTGTGCACCGCTGCCTTCCTCCTGCTACAGTGTTCTCCTGCGAACTAAAGGTATGGCGGCGTCACGCATGGCCGAACGCTTGGTGAGATCGGTCTATTCAAATTTAGAATATTGCCTTGTTAAAATATTCATGTACTGAGTTTTCTTGATGTTAATCAACATGTTATATTCACGACATTATAACGTCATGCCCGATAACATGTTGTTTAGCTTTATTTGCTCCTGAACTGATAACCTGCTAACGGCTCCGTGAAAATAATTTGTATTTTCACAGGGCCGTTAGCAAAAATTAAAAAAAAAAACTGTTCACATCAACAAAAACATTAAAGGAGGACACCTTAGACATCTGACGTAATGGAACGCGAGAGGATTTCTGGACGCAGCGCAATCCTAAAATCACCGCGCCACGTGTTCCTATCACAGACGGTGCCACGCCGGTGACATCACGCTCCACCACTGCGCAGGCGCGGCACACTCCGTCAGTTCTAAGCCTTTCGTTACGGTGCATCTGCGTTGCTGTGTCTTTGTTATGATTTTTTTTTTTTTTTCTGAGGCGCGTTCACTTTTTTTTTAGAGTACCACTACTTCCGTAACGAAGCATCTGATAGGACGCATCGCAGCCAAAGAGAACGTGTCGCATCCATTTCAACTGCCGTTTAAATAGACGCCTCTTTTTCGCGGTCACAGCATCGCTGGATCCGCTCCAAGGGGCAGTTAATACTTTCGAATTATAAGCCGGGGGCACAAAACAACGTTGTGGCTACCTGGAGTAAACATCAAGCATTCATGAATATGTACCAGTGACATCCACGAATTGTCGGTAATTTGTGAGATATGCGTTAACCTATCTGATTAGACATGAGGAAACACCGAGGTTTATTAAGACCTTCAAAAGTTTACGATGAGGTGCTCTGTCGAAGGCCTTCGGCAGCTTAGGGAACACTGCATCCACCTGCTAACGAACATTCCAGTAGCTAGATATTTCATAATAAAATTCATTTAAATGAGTCACTATTGTAAAGCCTCTACGGGAACCATGTGTG